TTTCGAAACCACTGACTGGATATTTCAGTTGCGTCGGGCAGTCCCGGACCGCCGACCACAATTTCCTCACGCGTTCTTAGAATGTTGCGTATCCCTGGGCGTCAGTTTACCTGGAAGCTCTCGGTACGATTTAACATTTCGCCAAGGACGTCGGCCTGCCTGGAATTCTCATGCTTCTTCGGTGTAGTCCTACAGAAACAATGACGTGTTTTTCCCCCCCACACATCACACGTGACTTTGTTCGTAGCGTTAACAGAGCGTCTTAATTGAAGTTTATAAATTAAATAAATAAGGACAGGGCATTTTAACGTTTCTATGATACATCCTAAGATAGTATAATTGCGTCATATTGTGAATAAAATATTAAATTAATTATTCGGTTTTGTCCGTCTAATCACAATTATATTTAAAAATTTTACAAATAAGATAATTAAAATAATATCATTTTATGTTCCACATCGAATAATCGATGAAACCGAAACATGTTGTAAAAATGTTCCAAATGTAAATCGATTATTCGATGTGGAACATAAAATGATATTTTAATTATCTTATTTGTAAAATTTTAAATATAATTGTGATTAGACGGACAAAACCGAATATTTAATTTAATCATCCTGTAGAACAGAGATTTGAAACACGGGGACCGCAGGTCGCGTGCAGTCATTTTTGTTGTTCGATTTTGTTCATAAATTATACGCGGTGCGTGTTAACCAGCTGTTTATATTTAAATTAAATAAAGTGGAAATGTGTTTAAAGTAACACGAAGAACAAGTCTTGAGGTTAAGAATGGAATTAGTCATCACGACCGTCTACTTAGGCGGCCATGATTTTCCTCACCCATGCGATGACCCCTTGATAGTCGCCTCATAGTAGATACGAGGTGCGATCGGAAAGTTTCAAGACTGTGCCTATAAAAACCCGTACACTTATCTCAGGTATTAAATTCAGCCATCACCCTCGAAGTAGTTCCCCTGGGAGTGAACACAACGATCCCAGCGCCGCTGCCAAGCCTGGAAGCATCCCTGGAAATCTTCCTTTGTCAGCCTGTCAAGCACCATCTGCGATTCTGCCTGAATCTCTTCTATCGTCTCAAATCTCCTTCCCTTTAGCTGAATTTT